GGGAAGAATATTAGTTGCGCAAAAATTCGTTACTGATTTTATGGCCGGTTTCAATAATCGTATCGAAACGGCGCTAATCAATGAAAAAGTATTCACAGAAACGGAGCTCGAAAACTTTGGCCGAAAGGATCCAGAAAAGTAAGACGTTGTTAAGACTGGGAGGAGCAGAGATAAAAAATGTAAACAAATGCAGGTGTGCTGTAGGGTAACTAGTGTGACTTGTGTTTTGTGCAACTCTCTCCAAGGAGACTATGCTGTTTGAAGTGTTCACTGCTTTACAGTTTCATAAGTATAAAAATTTTTGCAGTTTCCAAGTTATTGATTTTGGTGCCGAAATGTTTCGCATGTCCGCACGTGATACTTAAACGTCTGCGTGAGCTGAATTTACAGGCGGGCAGGGAGTATTCTTCTAGATTTTCAGTTTCCTAGCTTTTCTGGTTCCCGAGGTAATAATTTTCATGCCAAAACCTGCACGTACCGTATGTGTGAGAAGGCTGAAATTAAGTTTACTGGGTCGTACACGGGCAGGGAATATTCTCTTAAAATTTCAGCTTCCCCCCTTTTGCGTTTCGCAAGTTGCTAATTTAAGCACTAAAATCTTCACGTGGCCATCCGTCGGACGTGGGCGTAACGTGGGCACTGAGTTTGAGTTTGTGAGATCACACGTGAGCGCGGATCTCGTCTTAAAATTTCAGCTTCCCAGCTTCTCTGGTTCCCAAGTTGAAAATCCCAGATAAAATGCACTCAGAACACATGCATATATATGTATATATGTACACATATATGTATACGCACACACATATTTATATATATATATATATGTATAATGTATGTAATGTATATATTTAGACACATAACAGAGGCTAGGTCTCGACAGTATGCATTTTGTGCAGCTGTTGCAGCAAAAAACGCATAGTTGGAAGTGAAAAAAATAAATGTAACAAAAATAGATTTCAATAATAAAGTCGGGCCAACTGCATATGCGTTTTAAGGGAAGTGGAAGCATTTATAACAGCAAATTGTGTGGAACTAGCTAAAGACAAATGGCTATGCCCTCTATCTGGAAAAAAATTCAAGGGCCCCGAGTTCATACGCAAACACTTGACAACAAAGCATGCCGAAAAACTGGAGAATGTGCGACAAGAGGTTCATTTTTGTGGTCTTTTTTGAGTTTATTGAAAGGTTGTCATGATTAGAAAGGCAAAAACTCACAATAGCGTACAAATTGCTCTCATTGCTGGCAGCCAGTGAACTTGTCATTGAATAGTTCCTGTAAAAAAAGGACTGAGGGACGGACGGCTTTTGAAGAGATACTAAGCTTGCGCAATAATCTGTAGACAACTGGTATTGCATGCAGAATAGTCTGGCTTTGCATTAAGGATCCTACACATCCAGTCCCGGTGTTTTTTGTAATAGGAAACTTCTGAATGCTATGCAATTGGTAATTGTTGAAAAAGCCCCGCAGCGCAATTTTTATGAACAGTTTTGCTGCAGGCCATCTATTTCAACAATTATTTGTCGGACCCAAAACGGCCACATAATGTCGAAGTGAAGCCTCAACCGTCAGCCACACAATCTGCCCCGCCGCCACGTGAGGAACGACGAGAGCGCGAACGCGGTACTTTTGTTGTTGTCTTTTTTTGATTTAAGATTTTTTATCACTCATTGGTATCTTTAAGGTATTTTAGATTTTTTCATTTTTGGGTTTAGTGTTTTTTTTTTTTTTTAAAGTGGTACTTATATGTCAGGCTGAGCTGCATGTTTTGCAAATACTGCACATGGTCAATGCGGGGTCTAGGAATGGTGTTGTTCGAGACGAGGTGCTGATATCATCAGCAAACAGCTGAGAAATCTGGACGAAACAAATGAATCCTTGTTCAGAGTTTTTATTGGATGGAGCGTTAAAGTGATAATTCCTTCAGGAGACGAAATTAAGTTAGCACTGCTAGGAGGCTTACCGCCAGATGATGCACTATTGGTCAGAGCAATTGAAAAAATTAGCAGTTGTGTAGTTGGAAGATTATTGATTCCCGTCTAATCCAGTTTTGGCTTGCATCAATTCTCCGCTAGCTTCCTTCTCGAAAAAAGCAACCTTCAACAATCATGTTAAACGGAATAATCCCTATTTGCAAGAACCATGTTCTGCGTCCATTACTCAGTGCATTCCCCTCTTCTGATAAACGGAATGTGATGCAGTTTTTGAGCATTAATATCAGTTAAAAATTAGTTTTGCTTTTTTTTCAAATGCTTTCTCTAATTCAGGTTTGGGAATGGGGA